AAAAAAAAAAAAAAAAAAAAAAAATTCCACAGCTGGGCCTATCGCACTAGATGTGCTCAATCCTGTTAAGCTTACTGCTGTTATTATTGCTGTGCTTGTTATTAGTGATTTTATTGCAATTGTCACATAGCCCTAAATTTTATTTTATTTTATTTTTTTTTTGAGTCACTTGCCCAGGCTGGAGTGCAGTGGCACGCTCATGGCCACCCCAGCATCGACCCACTGAGCTCAGGTGATCCTTTCACCTCACCCTTCCAAGTAGCCAGAACTACAGGCACAGGCCATCATGCTCAGCTAATTTTTTTTTTAATTTATTATAGAGACGAGGTATCACCAAGTTGCCAGGGCTAGTCTCAAACCCCTGGGTTCAAGCAATCCTCTCATCTCTGCCTCCCAAAGTGCTGGGATTACAGGTTTGAGCCACCGAGCCAGGCCAGCCCTGAATTTTAAATAAGAGCTAACCACTCTCCAGCTGTATGACTCTAGGCAAATTCGTTCTCAATTTTTAACCTCAGCGTCCTCCTCTATCAAGCGTAAATAAACAATCTATATCTTGAAGCAATGCTAAACTTCCAAAGTGCAAGTAAGCATGAATTTAGGACATTAGCAAAGCAGCTCTTCCTCCAGCCACCCCCAACCCCAGGTTGTCTGAGTGCTAAATAATTGAATATTTGCTTTTTCTTTTCTTTTCTTTTTTTGAGTTGGAGTCTCACTCTGCACCCAGACTGGAGTGCAGTGGTCGCTTCCGGCCACCGCAGCCTCGACCTGCTGGGCTCTGGCGATCCTTCCGCCCCAGCCTTCCAAGTAGCCGGAATTACAGGCATGCGCTACCACGCCCGGCTGATTTTTTTTTTTTTTTTTTTTTGATTTATTGTAGAGACGAGGTCTCGCTGCCCAGGCAGGTCTCGAACCCGCGGGCTCAGGCAATCCACTCACCTCAGCCTCCCAAAGGCGCGGGAATACAAGCTGAGCCACCGAGCCCGGCTGCCTTTTCTTTTCTTTAAATTTTTTAGTCAGGGTCTCATTCTTTCACCCAGGCTGAAGTGCGATGGCATGATCACAGCTCACTGCAGCCTCGATCTGAACTCAAGTGATCCTCTTGCCTCAGCCTCCTGAATAGCTGGGACTACAGGCACGCACTGCCATGCACCGCTAATTTATTTTATTTTATTTTTTGTAAAGACGAGATCATGCTATGTTGCTCAAACTGCTTGGTTCAAGCAATCCTCCTGCTTCAGCCTCCCAAAGTGTTGGGATTCCAGGCGTGAGCCACTGTGCCTGGTTGGCAGTTGCCTTTTTCTAAGAATGCATGGAAAGCTTTGTCATAGGATGAAAATTTAGGACATCCTTGGACTTTATTTCAGTGGGGTTTCTATTTTGAATACATATTTGGGTGAGGGAGGGTGCTGACAGTTGCCAGGATCCCTTTCAATGCACTGAGCCTCTGAAGATCTGCAGCTGACCCTAACTCAAAGGGTTCCTGCCGCACTAAATAAGATTCTGTGTGTGATGGCCCTCTGCAGGGAGCCTGGCACGCAAGTCGTCCACAGAGGCTGTTGTTATTATTCTCAAAGTCAGAGACACTATTTAAAAAGGAGGCAGCACTGAGGCTTTGGCCACATAGATCAGAGTCTAAATCTTTTTTTTATTTTCCCCCTGAGCCAGAGTCTCACTTGTCACCCAGGCTGGGGGGATGTGGCACAATCATGGCTCACCACAGCCTCCACCTCAGCCTCACGTGCCACCATGCCCAGGCTGCTAATTTCTTGATTTTGGTTTTTGCTTTTGAGTTGGAGTCTCACTCTGTCACCCAGGCTGGAGGGCAGTGGCATGCTCCCGGCCACTGCAGCCTTGACCTTCTGGGCTCAGGCGATCCTTCCACCTCAGTCTTCCAAGTAGCTGGAACTACAGGGACGCGCCACCATGCCTGGTTAATTTTTTGATTTATTGTAGAGATGAGGTCTTGCCAAGTTGCCCAGCCTGGTCTCAAACCCAGGGGCTCAGGCAATCCCCTCACCTTGGCCTCCCAAAATGCTGTGATTATAGGCAAGATCCACCATGCCCAGCCTATTTTTTGATTTTTGTAGAGATGGGGTCTGGCCTCAAACAATCCTCCCACCCCAGCCTCCTCAAATGCTGGAATTACAGGCATGAGCTACCATGCCAGGCCCAATAATAATAGTTTTAACAGTAATAAATAATATTTTGGGGCCAGGCGCGGTGGCTCAGCCTGTAGTCCCAGCTCTTTGGGAGGCTAGGGTGAGAGGATTGCCTGAGCCCAGGGGTTAGAGACCAGCCTGGGCAACATGGTGAGACCTCGTCTCTACACTAAATAATAAAATCTAGCTGGGCATGGTGGTGTGCATCTGTAGTTCCAGCTACTTGGAAGGCTGACATGGAAGGAGCACCTGAGCCCAGTAGGTTGAGGCTGTGGTGGCCATGAGCATGCCCCTACACTCCAACCTGGGCAACAAGTGAGACTCCAATTCAAAATAATAATAATAATTATTATTATTATAAGTATTACTATTATTATATTGGCTTTTGCATTAATAATGTGCTAATGCCATTCTAAGTGTCTGACTCATTGAATCCTCATACAATCCTATAGGTGGGCGCAGTTATCACCCAGCGTTACAGATGAGGAACTCAAGAAGTCTAGAAAGGTAAATGATGTCCAGAAAGATCACAGAACCTGGCAGTGGTGGAGCTGAGATTCAAGCCCAGGTCTTTTGGCTCCAAAGTTTCTGCTCAACAGGAACAGGAAAAACACCTATCCCAGGCTTATATCCAATCCATACTACACACAGGACACTGGGCGAGAGCACGCAGAAAGCACTGGGTAGATCAAAGTTGGGGTGGTGGATGACATGTGGGTGCAGGTAGACAGCGGTGCTCAATATGTGTTCTACAAAGTCGCTGCAGGTAGACTTCAACTGAGAAGCTGGCAACATGCCCCATGGACTTCTGTGAATCTCTCTCTGTCTCTCTTGCTCTCTCTTTCTCTCTCTCTCTCTCTCTCTCTCTCTCTGCCTCTTTTTCCATCCGCACATCATAAAACAGTCTCCAACCTTGTGCTAAACCAAAACTCTCAACCCACTTGACTTCACTGAACTGTTACAACAAGCCTGTTACTGGGTGTGGTGGCTCACACCCATGATCCCAGCACTTTGGGAGGCAGAGGCAGAAGGACTGCTTAGGCTCAGGAGTTCAAGACCAGCCTGAACAACTTGGCAAGACCCCAATCTCTCCAACACATCAAAAAATTAGCTGGGTGTGGTGGCACGTGCCTGTAGTCCCAGCTACTGGGAGGCTGAGGCAAGAGGATCGCCTGAGCTCAACAGGTTGAGGTTGTAGTGAGCCGTGAGTGTGCCACCGTACTCCAGCCTGGGTGAAAGAGTGAGACTCTGACTCAAAACAAACAAACAAACAAACAACCACACACACAAAACACAAAACCAAGTCTGTCTAGATGTGTGCTGTCCCATTTGGCAGCTGCTAACCACATGTGGCCATTTAAACTGACATAATTTCAAATGACACAGAATTCAGACTTCTGTTTTCCATGCAGCCACTCTATTTTGGGTGCTTAGTATCTCTGTATGGCCAGAGGCTCTGACTGGACAGTGGGCATAGGGGAATGCTTCCATTGCCATGGGCACTTCTGGTGGTCAGTGCTAGATGATCAGCTCATTTCATAGAGGAGGAAACTGAGGCTCAGAGAAAGCAGTGCAGGAGGGAACAAGGATAGGCAGCCAGGGCCCCCTGTTCTTGTGAGCACCTGATATGGAGAGAGGGATGGGGTGGGAGAGGCTGTGTGTACACATGTATGATTACACGGGGCATCTGTACAAGCACACACGTGTGTGTGTGTGCGTGGCAGGACCTCTCTGGGCCCCCTCTCGACATCTCTTAAGCTGTGGCCACTATTTCCTGTTTCTGCCTCTCTGTCCAGTTATCTGCATCTCTGTCTCTCAGTTTCTCTGTCACTCTCAGTGTCTCCGAATTACCCTGTTTCTTTCTCTCTTATGAGTCAGGGTCTCTGTTGCCCAGGCTGGAGTGCAGTGGCACAATCCCAGCTCAATGGTCTCAACCTCCTGGGCTCAATAAAACCTTCCATCTCAGTCTCCTGGGTAGGTAGGACTTCAGGTGTGCACTGCCATGCCCAAGTATCTTTGCATTTTTGTAGAGATGAGGTCTCACAATGTTACCCAGGCTGGTTTTAAACTCCTGGCTTCAAGCAATCCTCCCACCTCAGCCACCTAAAGTACTGGGATTGCAGGCATGAGCCACCATGCTTGGACTTTTTTCTCTTCTTAAAGTAGAGATGGGTCCTCACTATATTGCCCAGGCTGGTCTTGAAATCCTGGCCTCAAGTGATCCTCCTGCCTCGACCTCCCAAAGTGCTGGGATTGCAGGCATGAGTACTGGCACCCGGCCTCTCCTGTCTTTCTCACTGTGTTGCTTTCCCTGTTCATCTCTCTGCCTTTGCCTCAGTCTCTCCTGGGTCTCTGTCTTTTTCTGTCTCTGTTCCTCTCTCTGAGATTCTCTCTCTGTCTTAACTTGAGATCTCGGCACATGCATTAATAATTCTCTGTGTGTCCCTCAGCTCTCCAGTTATTAAATCTCTTCACCCTTGGATCACAGCCCACTCCCTGCAGAGTGCACCTTTGGTCCCCTCACCCCTGCCTCCTCTCTGTCCCCACCTGTGTCCCCAGCCTATCAGTCCCCCTCGCATTCCCCCTTTCCAGGCCAAGGGCAAGGAATCTGGGCCAGATAGCTCCCCCTATCTCTCCAGCCCCCCTCCCCTCCCAGCCTTAAAAATAGCAGGAGAAATTGGGACGGACGCCGAGGGGGTGAGGGCGGGGGCGCGGCCCGAGGAGAACCAGGTGTCCAGGCACTCACGTCTGTCTGGGGGCCCTTCCCAGCGCCTGGACACTCGAAGGTCACAAATTCGTGGCATCGCCGATGAACCACAAAGCTGCAGACTGAAGATGGAAATTATAGAGACACAGACAGAGAGACACACATCAATCTGGGGAGAGACCCCCCAACAGACATTGAGCTAGAAAGGTAGAGGAGGACTCAGAGAGAAAATCAGAAAGAGAGGGATCTCAACCAGAAAGGAGAGTCAAAGAGAGAGAGAAAGACAGAACAGAGAGAGAGAGACACAGAGACAGAGAGAGAGAGAGAGAGAGAGAGAGAGAGACAGAAGACAGAAATGCAAGAGATGGACTCAAAGAAAGACACAGACAGAGATACAGAGAGAGAGGGGTACAGAGAGAGACAGGAGACAGAACCCCAAGAGATGGACTCAAAGAAAGGCAGAGACTCAGAGAATCTCAGAGAGACAACAGCTCAGAGCCCCCAGCACACACACAGCTCACGGCAGCCCGAGGAGGAGAAGCCAGATCTCATTGACAAACAGACACAGGCCCAAAGACAGGGATAAGAAGGAGAGAGGCAGACGGATTCAAAGAGAAGACACAGAAATATCCTCAGACACAGAGGGAGAAGCGGAAACTTGGGCCCAAGTGAGTCTGGGGGCGCCGCTGCCGGCCCGCCCCCCACCCTGACTCACTGCTCTCAGCAGTGGCAGCTGGTGCTTAAGGACTCGCCCCCCTCTCCCGCCCCCCA